ATACAGCTTTAATTTTTTACTGCAGCTAGCTTTCGTTCTAATATCTTATGAAATCATAAAAAATACGAGCATCGAACCAACACGCAAGAGGTTGACGGTTCAACTCTGCCAGCTATTGTCGATTTGCCTAATTAATATTTTATTATTCATAAAGAAGACAACAAAAAATTATTATTATTATTATTATATATAATATTTTATATTAAAAAAAAAAATTATAATAAAATGCCTAAGCATGTTTTTGTATCAATCCAAACACTTCTTTGGTATTCTTTGGTATTCAATATTATATATTAAATGAATATTTTGTAAGATTAAAGTTCAATTTAAATTCTTTATATGATATATAATTAACAGGGTACTTATTTTATTTTCATATTTTCTTCTTGGATTAAATTAAACTTACCTTTGATTTATTTAAAATATGAACATATGCTGTACTCAAATTTTAGCTTTTTGTATGTAGCGCATTTAGCAATCAACAATGCCAGCCTTCAATAATTGAAATGTCTTTTGTTTTTTTTTTTTGCAAATTATTCGAGCGTATAATTTATTGTATTAAATTTGGACTTTGTCTTCATGCCAGACTTAAATAGAAATGAATATCAAATAGTGTCTTATCTGCGAGCAAACAAGCCCACAAATAAACATTCAAAAATGCATAATTCGATTATTGGGTCAGGCCTGTCCAAAAACCAGTCTTCAGATGAGCACGCGAAACGTCATAGCCATGACGAAGGGTTCAATATGATAACTAGATATGCAATAGGTATACGAAAAAAAAGTAGCTAAAAACGACCATCATTAAGAGAGAGAGAGAGAGAGAGGCTACGAGATATACGAGTTTGCTTTGATGTTCAGAGATGAGGTTTTTTTTGGGACTGGTTGGGCAGATGCAAAGTGTGTGGGCCGGAGACTAATAATTAATATAATGGTGCACGGACAAAGTTCAAGTCAAGGCAAAAAAAAAAAAAGCTACCAAACACGATTCAGTGAGATATTGACGACGGAACGAATCGCATTAACAATTGGAAGTGCAGCAAATTATTTAGTGTGCTTGACAAAGAGGTAGCTAGACATAAATATTTTTATTTATTTCTGCTGCTCGCACGACAATTGGCCTGGCAACCCGACACAGTTGACAAGTTGTCAGGGAATTGGAGCCCCCGATCCATACGGTTGACGCAGTTGCCATTTACGTTTCATTGACGACCGAAGAGCTCGGAGTTCACAACCCGGAGTTCCGTTTGCAGATAAACTGTCTCTGGGCAGTCGCGTGCGTAAACCGAGTCAAAGTCAAGAGTATATAACATACAGCAGTTCCACACGGAGCTCAAGAACATCAAGAAAACATTATCTGAAGCCGGACTCATTGGTTATCAGTTGGTGACGAAGGCATTGCCGGGGGTTATCATCGCACTTGACCAATATTTTGTTTTGTATTTGTTTTTGTGCGTTTCGGTGATTCAATTGAAAGTATTACACACAGATACACAAATACAAATGCCCTAATCAGCATAATCGCATATGTTTTACAGTTTCATATAACGCGACAAAGTTTCATTCTCGCAGCCCAATCAACGCATCGGCAGTCAGCATTTGGGCCTCACAGCGATCACAACAATAGAAATCATACAGAACATATTGCTTTAGACTATATATATATATATATATATATATATATAAATATTTATATACATATAGGAAAAATGTCATTAGCGTTGGGTCTGAAGCAGCTGCTGCTTTTTGCACTGTGCCTTTGTCTGGTTCCACGCTCGAGCAATGCGGATTTATCATTTCTGTTCGGCAATATTACGCTTTTCAATGTGAACTTTAAGACCCCAGCTTTGCTGGGCCGTTCGATATCGGTGAAGAGCAATGTGAATATTGATAATAGTGTGGATCCCAATATACAGGAGGATTCACATTTGAATACGGTGAGTGCACATGCCTGACATATGCTCTAGAGTTAGGCTCATGTCTTTTTCCAAAAATTATCCACAAATATAAAGGTGTTACCAGAAAATGAAGCAATAATTGAAATTTTACGCAAAATCGTTTACTTCATTTACTTATTTCTCGAATTGGTTAATCCAAATGATGATTGATGACAGATGAAGATTGACAAATCATTCAATTGTCATTAATTATCCGTAATGACCGCTTATAATAACGTCTAACTTTTGACAGTATTTTGCGCATTTGATTTTAGAAACAATTATATAATCATTTTATTTTCTTCTCAAAAAAAAAAAAAACTAACCTGCTCAAAGTCGGAAAAGGGCTGTAATATCGTATATATACAATATATAAAATGTTATGCTCATTATTATTTTTATTTTTTCCGCCTACAGTATAGTCTAATCAAGAAATATGGTTATCCGGCCGAGAACCATACTGTAACAACTGACGATGGTTATGTATTAACCCTGCATCGCATTCCAAGGCCTGGATCAACGCCTGTTCTTCTGGTACACGGTCTATTGGACAGCTCTGCCACATGGGTGATGATGGGTCCTAACAAGGGTCTAGGTATGTAAAGGGGAATTCTATCTTAAGACCCAGTACTTAAATTGTGCATTTTGCAGGCTACTTGCTTTATGAGCAGGGCTACGATGTGTGGATGGCTAATGTGCGGGGCAATACGTATTCCAGAAAACATATAAAGTACACGCATCTGCATGCCAAGTACTGGGACTTCACATTCCATGAAATGGGCGTGTACGATATACCCAAAACAATTGATTATGTACTCAATAGGACGGGTTTTCCCCAACTTCATTATATTGGACACTCGCAGGGCACCGTTGTCTTCTGGATTATGGGCAGTGAGCGACCCGAGTATATGGATAAAATCATATTCATGCAGGCTCTAGCTCCAGTTGCCTATTTAAAGCACTGCAAGAGCCCTGTCGTGAATTTCCTAGCTGAATTTCACGCGTCGGTGAGCGTAAGTCCTTCTATGCGATTCTCATTGCGCTTATTAATTTAGTGGTTCTCCCCTTCTTTTACAGATTGTGCTCAAGCTGATTGGTGTTCATGAGTTTTTGCCCAAAAACGAGTTTATTGTGATGTTCAATCAACTGATTTGCGATGAGACCACAATCACTAAAGAGATCTGCTCCAACGTGATCTTTCTAACCACGGGCTTTGATAAGTCGCAACTGAACGAGACCATGCTGCCCGTTGTGGTGGGGCATGCACCTGCTGGCGCCTCTACCAAGCAAATGCAACACTTTGCCCAGGTGCGTAGGTCGGGCGACTTTCGTCAGTTTGACTACGGCTGGCTGAGGAATCACTGGCATTACAATAGCATCAACCCACCCGCATATAAGCTGGAGAGTGTCAAGGCCAAGGTCGCCTTGTATTATAGTCAAAACGATTGGCTAGCGCAGCCCACAGATGTCGAGGCACTGCGCCGAAGGTTGCCCAATGTGGTATCGCACTATTTGGTCGACTATCCGGAGTTCAATCATCTGGATTTCATTTGGGGCGTCGATGCACGTGAGCTGCTCTGGGATCGCATGCTGCAGAATATGCGTTCTCATGACACCGACAATACCATAGATACTTCTAACTAATTTAGAGTTTTAAATAACTGTTTAGTCTAAGCGCTATACTAACAGTATGAGCTCAATGCACACTATTGGCCATTTATGTATATATATCAAATATTTATTAACTGAGGTTAGAGCAATAAAAACAGTTGCATGTGATATTTCATATATCTTTTAAGGGGACTTTTTATTATCTTTTCCATTTTTACTATCAACACGAATTGCATTAAGCCCCTCAAATATGCCATATAAAAATAAGTCATAATTTCTACTTCCATAAATCGCTCAAATCTCATCCGATTTTCATAAGGCTTGGCTTTTTGTTCATGACCTCTTGATCAATTTGATAGGTAAATCTCACATTATTCTCAATTTTATCCGGGCTATTCCCGCTAGTATTTTATAAGTAGATCAAGTTTTATGGGGCCTGTAATTGGGTCCTATATTTTTGGGCATGCCTCTGGAGTTTACTTGAGATTAAATAACTAAGAATTGATAAATATGTTAGCTTCAGCGTAAAATCTTTTGTAGATTTAAATTATTTTCTAATAAAATTTCTCTGTTCGGCTTGTGTATGTTTGTTTACAAGTGAAGAGCGCGAGTGTTGCCACATGGTTCATATTCTTAAGGTAAATATAGCATAAGCTAGGGCATTTTTTAAATTATTAACACAAATCGTAAACAGTATTTATTTAAAATTTATCTAAGCAACTTATCGCGGATATTGATGTTATTATAGATACCTCAATAATTCTTCACAACTATTCAAAATAGTTAGTTAAAAAGTAATTCGCATACTAGGTTAGATTACAGATCTAGCCATGTGACTGACTTACAGCCAAATACCCTTTTTTATGGTTAATATGTTGAACATTTGGCAAGGGTATTAAAATGGTTTCTTGACCAGAAGATTAACTTTATGAGGTAAGAGGGCTCGAGCTGTTGTTGCCCGACTATAAGATACCGCGCCATCTGCTTCTGCACACATTCTAGCTTCTTTCTAAGCATGCCGATAAATTATCGTTTACACACACAAGGCTGAAATAGAGTTTATTGACGTGTGTATATACCGAATCGCAAGACTCAACCATTAGAACTAAAATATATAGATAAATCTATGGCTCAAAAGCAATATTAATCGATATTACAACAAAATTGTGATATAGGAGAATATAAATTTTAAATCAGAAACTTTCTCTATCCAATCCAGATCAAGAATATATGTATACATACATTTGCACAAAATCAATATACCCTTTGACCCATTTTCAATGGGTTCAGCGTATGAGAAGCTAAATTAAGATAAGCATATAAAGTTAAAGCGATAAATACTTATTTTAGGTGAATCGAATCGGGAATAATAGTTGCTATAAATTAGACGAAATAGCACAAATGTGTTTCAGTTAGATAAAGTTTTTGGAGTTGGCTGGACTACAATTTAACTGGAGGTTAATTTCGCTAACAACGACTCAATTTAAAGGATTTTTCTTTTTAAATACTTAAGCAAACAGACATTTATATATAAATTAGACGCAGCTCGGCACCATTGAATTTTAGGTATCATTGGAATAATAAGATGTCTCGACGAGTTGCCTTACTTTTATGGATATGCGTGCATGCAACGCTTGCACTTGATGATCCCATTATAGAAGATTCTGACCTTAATACGGTGAGTTATATATACAGTCAGAAACGATTTTAAATCGACTTCTCAAATCTAATACTATTATGAAGAAATATCGAGAAAAAACAAAGACATAAATAGAAAAAAAAAATCTATGAACCAAACTATTAACCAAAATGTGCTACTTGCAGCTGGAGCTACTTGAAAAGTACGGGTATCCAGCCGAAAATCATACGGTCCAGACTGAAGATGATTATTTTTTGAATATACATCGAATCCCCAGACCCAATGCAAAGCCCGTTTTGCTAATGCATGGTCTATTGGATAGCTCTGCGACGTGGGTGATTATGGGACCCGAAAAGGGACTAGGTACGCAAAATGAATCTATAATACTGTTAACTTATCCACTATAATCTCCAATTCTCTGTTCAAGGTTACTGGCTCTACGACCAGGGCTACGATGTGTGGATGGGCAATGTGCGTGGCAACACCTATTGTAGGAAACACGCCAGTTACACGCCCGACGACAGCGAGTTTTGGGATTTCTCGTTTCACGAAATAGGCATCTTTGATTTACCTAAAATCATTGATCATGTACTCGAACAAACGGACTCTACGCAACTTCACTACATTGGACACTCACAGGGCACCACTTCCTTCTGGATAATGGGTAGTGAGCGTCCCGAGTACATGGAAAAAATCCAGTTCATGCAGGCCCTGGCTCCGGTTGCATTTTTTAAGGATTGCAAGAGTCCTCCCTTGAATTTCTTGGGTGCAACCCCATTATCCTCAACTGTAAGTTCTCTTCTGTGTCTTGTCTCGAGTTAAGATCAATGATTCGTCTTCCAGCTTTTACTGCAGATGCTGGGCGCAAATGAATTCCTGCCGCAGACCGAATTTACAGAAACGGTCAGTGCTGCGGTTTGCGATGGTACGGAATTTGGCGCTAGGCTCTGTTCGAATACTCTCTTCCTCTTCACGGGCTTTGACAAGGAGCAACTGAATGAGACCATGTTGCCGACGATCCTGGGACATGCTCCCGCTGGAGCCTCGACCAAGCAAATACTGCACTTTGGCCAAATGAAATCACTGAACGATTTTCGCAAATACGACTATGGCCCATTTGAGAATCAATTGCGATACAAAAACTTTCTTCCACCCAAATATAAGCTGGAAAATGTGAATGCCAAGGTGGCCTTATATTATGGCCTTAATGATTGGCTGGCGCAGCCCGGCGATGTGACGACGCTTTACTTTAAATTGCCAAATGTGCAATTTAAATATCTGGTGGACTATCCGAAGTTCAATCATCTGGATTTCATGTGGGGCATTGATGCACGAGAGCTGCTCTACAATCGCATGCTTGAGAGTATGCGTTATTATGAGAACGAGCAAGAGATTAACTTGTAATTAATTTGGCGAAACTGGGTATAGTCTAACGATCCCAAAAACTGGCCGCAAAAACCTTTCAGTTATAAAAAAGCAAGGTATAAAACAAGTTTCTTCTCTTTTTGAACATTGTGTAAATATATTTGTTAATGTATAGAATGAAAGCTGTAGCAGTTAGTATTATATTTAGGATTAGCTGTGTGTAAAATGGTTTCTCAATAAAAATATGGTACTTTTGTGAATATTCTGCAAGAAGTTAGGCAACCGTACAACGAAACAATATCCGTGGTATCTAAATAGCTAACACGGTTGATATCTAAGAAATAAAGTCATCGAGATTTTTGATCGCATAAATAAAACCAAAAGACGGCATATCCGTAAAAGAAATGGAAAAATATCTAAAGCTGTGTACATAAATAATACAAAAAAAGTATTCTTAACAAATTACCTTTAACACGATTCTCATAAATTCAAGTTATTCTCATAGGCTTCAGATGGTGAACGGCTTTTAAATTGGGGAAGGCGGACTTAACTATGAAATAGTTGATGTTTTCAATATTGGATGAAACGTGGCTTTGGTGGAGGAAGCGGCGTTAATTTTAAATTGAATAATCTGGTGCATATTATAAAGAAAACTATATCTTTTTGTATCTAAACAAATTATCAACTATAATAATCATGCATGTTTGTTTACACATATTTGAATACATATATGCTAGTATGTAATTAAATGTGTGTGAATGTTGAGCTGTGCTGAAAATGAACATAAAACCATAGTTGTAAATATTGCTCTTCTATGCGATTCTCACTATTTCAAGAGGCCAATTCAGCTGCGCCCTTAAGCTTTTAAACATTATCACTGCTTTCAGCTAATAATTTGGAAGAGGAGACTGCTGATTTAATTAAAATTAATAATTTATTTATAAAAGATAGTTATCTACGTCTCGATTGGGGCATTGCTAGACGTGGGGAGCTCTTCGCATGAGTAGGATAAGGAATACAAATTATAAAAGCCTTGAGAATAAAGTCAGTTATAAATATAATTGAAAATAAAAAATTTAAACATCAGATATGTGCTTGCAAGACGAACTCTACAGACTCCAGAGACTTTAATAGTTGCCTGTAAAAAGGTATGTTAATTTTTTCAAGACCCACTCATGCAAATATAAATATGTGGAAAGGCATTAGAATATAATTAGTTATTTTGTTTATTTCTACGGTTAAGTCCAGCTTAAAGCTAGCATTATGTTAAGTATTAGAGTTTTAGTGTGTCACTTATTATGCAAATGGTTAATATATGCAAAACAACACTTTTTTTTAATGGTAGCAATGCAATTGGCATGCAATTATATGCTTTAGTAGCAGTAGCAGAAATTTAACTAATTCTCACCTGACTGATTCCCCCAACGAATCTTGCAATTATAATGCTTACTAGAGGCTTGTGAAATAGAAATCTGATCTTCGCTTTATTACACAAATATATGCTACATGATACAAATATTTGTAATACAAAATAATCAAATTTGTAGCCTTAAATAACATTTAGATCTCTAATTTATCAAGCTCTATTGATTTGTACACTAAATCAAGGACTTTTAGGACATATATGCGTATTTGAATAAATTATAAATAAAGCTCTCAAGGGTATTTCATAGTCTGTCGTTATATTGCTAACAACAATGTTGACAATATGCGGTCCTAAGTCGAATATATGCAGTAGATATAACTTTTTTACATTTATGGAAATTAAAATAATAACAGACGTATATATATACAGACGGACAACAAAAGAATGATGCGATCACATACGCTATCAGAACTGATAATACTAGTATTAGTAAGTAAAATTTCTTTAGTTGGGAGGGCCCGACTAGGGTATACCCTGAACTACCAGACCAAAAAGCAGCTCTATGGATGAAATTTCAGCAGAAGATCCTTGATCTGAAGATAGCTAATTAAGCAGCTAGACTCTAGATCTAGATGCACAAACAACAAATTTTTAATATGGACTCGATTATAACACACATCTATAACTTCACATCTTAAACACATAACTTGCAATTTTTCAAGGCCAACAACGAAATCCTATTCCACAAAATATATATACTGAGTTATATATTTTTTAAACAAAGTAATGTCTACCCACTCTTTGAAATATGTCCACCATAAACAAAACTTTTGCACCTTTTCTTTTCCACTTTCCACTATTTTCTTAGCTTAGCCATAATTGTAACTAAACTAATCCCATATATAAACAAATAAAACGAATAACTATATTAATTGAATAAAACAAAGCAGCGAATTGGCAGTAATTATTTGATTGAATGGATTTGTTGTATTTGTAATGAGGTTCTAACTTTTATTCTGAACTACGAAACTTGTTTGACATTGCACCAGGAGATAAAAACTAACATTTTTCCGATAAATATTTTGCATTATTTTACATACAAATTACGTTCGCGTGATTTCCTCAACTGGCATTGGGCCTGATCAGTTAATAAGCATTGTCCGAGTCAACTATCGGCTACTTATGTCAGGCATCACAGTTAGCTAACCGATCAGTGACAACGGATCGCGCTCCGAGCACAGTTCAAATTGGAAAACACGCAAAGTAACTGTTCTCAGGAAATTAAAGTGTACTAAAATCAAATACTTAAAGCAACATTATGAATTAAATGAAAACTTAACTGTAAGTCGCTTTCCTAAGGTGGCAATGCGACGAAAATCGATTTGAAATGGAACGAATCGTATTAAACGCTGGCTCTAAAAGTGAACGACTAATTAATACTTAGTTCTTGATTAAGTTGTTTAAAGATGATTTTAAGTGAATCGCAGCATTATTTACACACAAACATTTGCGCTAATGTGGCGTATACGTGATATAAATGTGACTATACTCAATTATATTAAAAGCTTAGCAATAATTATGAGATTAGCATACGAGTCGTTTTAAACGCCAGAATGAAATGTAGTCCCTGTGTAAATAAATAATACATTATTAGAGGTTCTTATGAGAAATTAGCGTCAGTATAAATCATATAAATAGAACCTATATACCATTAATTAGAGATATTATACAAAAAAATACCTGTATATATCAAATCTTAGCAACATCGTACCACTACATCATATAGCTGCCATATGAACGATCGGTTGTAAATTAGGTTTCTAGATGGCAAAATATTCCTTTGCCAGTGATATTTTTATCAGACTCAGCTTTCCCAAACTTTCCCAACCTCAGATATCCCAACCTTTCCGTTTATATAAATAGAGGTATTATAGTACCTATATAGTACAGAAATTATGTTATATATATAAATTTACAGCTAAGTATTGTCTATATATATATTAATGCGTATATTTAGTGGCTATCTAGTCTAACCCAGACTAAATCTTGACTAGTCTTATTTGTACTATTTTTTCTGTGCGAAGGTGAAACATTACAGGTTTTATGACAATTCGCAAACTAGTTTTCATCATATCAAATTCACTTTCAGCTTTTGATATTGAACTTGAACCTGGCATGCAACAAGCTAATTAATTCATTCACAATTCTATTATATTTGTTATATTTTTGCTAGGTTGTTTATATTCTCTGGGCTAGTGGGTCAAGCGGATATTTCATTTGCAATTGATGCACTCAGCCGGGAACGATAGATCATTGTACATTTAATATAATAATAACATGTCTCGGTTATATTACTGCCTGATCTGGCTAGGCTTGCATGCAAATCTGATGCTCGCCGATATTCTCAAGTACGACCCTGTTATTATAGAAGATGCGCATCTGCGAACGGTAGGAGTTGTTGTACATCAAGTATTATTTAATTATTGAGAATAATTGTATATTGTTGCAGCCTGGACTTATCAGAAAGTATGGCTATCAGTTTGAAGAGCATAAGATTGATACCAAGGACGGGTTTCGTTTGACGGCACATCGCATACCCAAGCCAGGTGCACAGCCTGTGCTGTTGGTGCATGGACTGGAGGATAGCTCGTCGGCCTGGATCTTGGCGGGGCCAGGTCGGGGCTTGGGCTATCTGCTCAGTGATCGCGGCTACGATGTCTGGATGCTGAACACCAGGGGCAATCGCTATTCCCGCAAGCATCGCAAATACCATCCGCTGCATCGCCAGTTCTGGGACTTTTCGTTCCATGAGCTCGGCATTTACGACCTGCCCGCGAGCATTGACTATGTGCTAGCCAACAGTAAGGGCTACGAGCAGCTGCACTATGTGGGCCACTCGCAGGGCACCACCTCCTTCTTTGTGCTGGGCGCCGAGCGACCCACCTATATGAAAAAGATCAAACTAATGCAGGCCCTTGCGCCCGTGGCCTATTTCAATAATGTGCCGCTGCCACTGCTCAGATCTATGGCTCCCTATGTACCCGACATTTTGGTAAGTCTCACTTTATATATATATACATTTTTGAATAAATTAAACTATATGTGCTGACTAACTGGTTGTCTGGAAGATAGTCTACTTTGTTGCTATAATTTTAAATGATGGCCTTTATATTTGATCTATAAAGCCTATTGAGAGCTTAAATTATTCTAAAATTTTCTGCAGCGCTTGTCTCAACTCTTTGGAATCTATGAATTTCCACCGGAGAGGGAAGTGTGGCGCGAATTGAACTATAAACTCTGCAGTTTTGCGTTTCGAAACACATGCACCTATCTTATAATGCAATTAATGGGCGTGGATTTTGAACAATTAAATAGCACACTCGTGCCAATACTGCTGGGCCAATATCCGGCAGGCTCGTCCGTCAAGTCATTCGGCCATTATTCTCAGCAGGTTAGCAGCGGCGGCTTCATCAAGTATGACTATGAGAATCCCTATATAAACAAGAGACGCTACGGCAGCGTCAAGCCGCCAGCGTACAAGTTGGCCAACATTAACTGCAAAGTGGCCTTGTATTATGGCCAAAACGATTTTCTGACAGCTGTCAAGGATGTGCAGCGTTTGCGCGATGAGCTGCCAAATGTCGTTCATGATGAGAAAGTGGCCTACAAGAAATTTAATCATCTCGACTTTATATTTGCGAATGATGTGAAAGAGTTGCTCTACGAGAGCATGTTCCAGGTAATGTCAAGGGTCGACAAGGGTGAGCTTTAGTTCAATAATTGAATATATAATAATAATAATTACTTGCCATATAAACTAATTTGAATATGTGAGCACCTTAGTATCGCTAGTCATTTGTAATTTGTAAGCCGTGAGAGCTTTTTAATGAAAACTCTATGTAAATAAGCATAAGTTATATTTTGTATTCTTGTATGAGATTAACAACTTTTAGCTCATTGTTCATAAATCCATCTAATCATATTTAGTTTGTTAATTCCTTTCCTTACACCTGTTTCATATATGTTACAAATATGTTAAAGTATGTTTACATATTCTATTTTTATTTGAAAGTTAAAAAGAAGGAAAGAAACTTAAAAGGGATATAAATAAGCCATATAAAACATATATATTGTATAAATTAAGATTAGATGCTTCTGGAATACCCTATAGAGTTGTTGAACTTGTATAAAAGATCAGGCAGTTCTTTAAATTCTTGAATTTTACAAACTTTTAGAACTATATATAACTGCAGGGAATATCTTGCCTGCAAAACTGTATAAAGTAGACTTGGCCAATTGTAAATAGCCTAAATAGTATTTTAATTTATTGAATATTAATCATAAAGATTTTGTACAGTTGTTTTTTATTCAAGCATGCAATTGCATGTGTTCCATTTACTGTGTAGCCGATTGAATAGTCGGTGTTATATAAAAGTGCGAATTTCTGTGCGAACAACGGAGAATCAACTTGAGTATTGAAGCCATTGTATTACTATGGCTATTTAATATGTTTTAAGCATGGATGAACCTATTCAAAATACGGTTTTGCCATAATTTGGCAATATGTTAACAATTCTCATTTTGTGGCCATGTGTTGCAAGCAGCTGAGTGCAATTAAATGCGAGTATTTGCCCAGTGGCAGGTGAAGTGCTTGCCCAGCCACTTAAAACAGACACTCAATTGTACAAATATAACTATATACATAAATATATATTAGCATATATATATATAGTCATAGAAATACTTCTAAATGTGTTTTAGCATAGCGCAAAATTATTGTAATTTTCTATGGCAGTGAGAGGCATTGAAATGGAAAATCAGATTAAATATTTAAATCGGCCAGAGAAGCCTGAGGCTTGCCAAAAGTACGAGTGGCTCCTCTCACACGTGTGTGTGTGTGTGTGTGTGTACAGGACGAAAAGCTCTCTATAACTGTGGAAAATTTATTGCAAGTATATTTTATTTAAATGCTTTCCATACTGACAATGGCAGTCGCCGGTCTGCAAGGGGTGCGGGCAATGCAAGAAATGTCCAGTGACAAATGCAAAAGCTGCCAAAAAATAACCCAACACAAAAATTGCATTGGCATGTGCGCGAGTGTGTGTACAAGTGTGTGCGTGTGTGTGTGTGTGTGTGTGTGAGCTTGTGTTCTCGGCAACCACAAGAAAATAAAAGTGTCATTTTATAAATGCAAACTTAATCATTTGCAGTCTGCATTTCGACCATAAAACCAAACAAAGCCAATGCCATGCGCCCCAAACTCTTAATTGTTTTTCAAATAAAAACGTTACAAATTTGCACGTAAATTTATTTAAAGCATTACAAAACTGAAATCATTTGGTCGAAAATTGTATACACTAGCAGCTGATTAATCTGGAGTCTATGAAATGTTTATTCAGACCTATTTCGGTTCTGGCTAATCGTTTGATCAGACAGATATCGAAATATATTATGCCTATTAGGAAAAGGTATGCATAGACAGGACGTGGAATATGGGTGGAATCGAGTTATCTATGTCCTCTTCATCAAGACGTTGTTTTCTTGCAGAAGTTCCGCTTTTTTGCAGAGTATACTTAAATTGTGGTCATGGCAAAATCACGTCTTCAACAAAAGCACATTTGAACCAATTTTCAGCAGAGCTTTAAGATGTTCGTTGTCATCGGCTCAACTCTTCATGCTGCTGTTTATTTGGTTTGGTGCTGGGATTGTTGTTGCTGTTGCGTGTTGTTTTTGCGGTTAAGTTTTGAGTCTTAGAACCAGAAACGAAATCAGGCAAAGAGCGTGAGGTACTCGGCACTCGGCACTCGGCACTCGGCACTGACATATCAATCATGTCACTTGACCAAGCGGAAATCGAGTTGTGTTTCGTGCTGTCGCCTGTTAGGAACTTTCTCGCAAGTTTGCGCTACGAAACCCTATCAACAACAACTTAAACATGCCCGAATATTGTTGTGAAATAAATTCGTTGAGCTCCTTTGGTCACCTATTGTTTGAGGCATTTACATGTTGGCCCCAACAGAGTTGTGCCTGCGCTCGATTTTTGAGTGCTCGGGCCGGGATGAAGAGTGTGGTGCTGTGTGTGTGTGTCGGGCTACGTAAGGTACCATTATGCCATGTCCTGCTGCACAGCAAGTGATAAAAGCGACACTCTGGCAACTAACTAGGATTTGATGCTCAAACAAAAGCCGCTTTCCAACCAGAAACCAACAGCAGCAAAACCAATCGAAGTCAGTTCAAGACTTACGTTCGGATTTGCATTTGAATGAGAAATGGGAAGTGGGCAAGTTTGCAAATCGCTTTTTTTTTTTTTTTTTTTTTTTGTATACCCTATACAAATATTAAAGTTGTGAAAGTGTATATAAACATTTGTTGATATATCCATAGTTATATACACTCTCTGCCCTCTACTTCTTATCTAAGAGCTGTAGATATCGAACTTTTATGGTGGCATTTAGTGTACAGGGTATCTGTGTGTCGGGTACTCTCAAACTGAACCAATCTAGTTTGTTTTCTTTGTTGTTGTGGCTTAGCTCAAGTGCTTGTACGCATAGGGTTAGGGTTTTGTGGATCCTTTGTTTTCCCGATTCTTTGCTTGCGAGCACAACAACAACAACAACAACAACAATAACATAAACAAAAACTACTAAAGTTTTGGCATATCAGCAGGCAACAATTGAAAGTTTGAAATTTTCTTTGTTTAATATCTTTGCGTTCATATACCATATTTTTGAGCATCGATTTAGGGCTTAAGAGTTTAGAAACTGGCTTATAGCAACGAGAGTCTTATGCACGGATTAGGGTCTGAACATATTTATATTGAAAATGTTAATTGGTTAAGCATTTCAGTTAAAAGAGCGAGCATATAAGTATTTAACTTAGTTTGCAAGATTCGGCTTCTTTCTCCTAGCTAGCGCATGGATGATATTAACTGTATGCTCTACCTAAAATAATAAAAATTGCTTGGAATTTGGGTTTCTTTAAAAGATATGCAGTAGGTTTTGTGCTTAAAAAGTTTGCAACAAGTTTAACTTAGATTTAACTGTAGAATAAGAGAAAAAATTGAGCGTATGCCAAAAAGTATGCTATATTTTACAAATATTATATTATATTTGAATTATTAATTAAAAATTTAAATTCAACTGAAGACTTTTTATATAAATTCACTTATTTAACAGAAAAATTAATTGAATCAAGGGAAGGAAAATATATATGCTTCGCCCTCTTCCCCTTCTTAAAAAAAAAATCAAGCAAATAATGTTCTTGTTGAAATCAGAAGAAAATTATTTTCCAACTGTTTTCAGCTGTTATTACACCTAACGCATCCGTGCATCAATATTAATTGTGCTGCCTGACAAAGAACTCTACCACAAGCTGGCACATCCTCCATAACGCCAAGAATATACGATGGGGCTTCTGCCAACCCCCATATGGCCGAGTAGTTGTCTGACTGCTGCGCATAAAGTATTTGATTTCATAATCAAAAGCGCAATTTGATTTGGCCACAATTTAATTAAAGCTCGACTGCAAAACACCCTAAAAATGCTAAACAAAAGCTCCACTACTCCCAGCCTCTGCACTTAATTTTTACATGCCTAGTCCTTTCATTTCAATTCCCATATCATGCACTCTAGTATCTGGTTATGTCAGACAGCTAAGGAAGGCTCTTGTTGGACTGGGGGGGGGGGAGGGAACGTAGCCAAGGGTGTGTGTTTGTGGGCTGGAACATCTGCAGGCTTCACAGAGTTTTACATGCGGCTTGAGTACATCAAAATGTCTAAAATTTCATAATTGCAACTGGTTATACTTTGTGGCCGTGCCCCAAAGTGTGTTGTTGCTTGTTCCTTCGGCTGTGGATGCAACCAAATGCTGGCCATCTCATATGTCCAGGCCGCAAAACATTTAATTGCGTTCCTTTTTTCATTGTTATTATTATTTTATTATTCTTTTCGTTTTTGCATCTCAAATAAATATTTGTTGCATTGTGGCTATGGCAAGCATTTGTAACATTGTTTTCCGAAAATTTGAAAGCGTTCTTCCACATATTTAAGCTGGTGTTAAGGAATACATTATTATATATGTAAAATAAATCTACACAGTATATTTATACTTCATGAAAATTAACTGCATTTCTTTAATATATTGTTGGCGTTTCCTTGATATGTTCACACTTAAATGAAGAAATCCTTAATTTTATTTTATAGTATAGACGCATCACTTGTAGCCAGAATCCAGTTGGTTAAGATCGTGCACGCTTAGTAATATATATGCCAAAATATCGGCCACTTCGACACAAATTTGCATAGGGCACACCCTGTTGGCCAAACAGCCCACAGGGTATACCCCATTGTGCAAAGAGCAACAGTGAGCGCTGCTCAGTTCAATCGAATTAGCTCGCCTGCTCGCCCCCAAGCTGCAGCGGGGCATGTGGTGCATGTGGATTCCATCGATTGCCACAACATTGCAGCATATGGAATGCTGCAGCTTCTGAACGTGGACGTCATGTTAGCTGCTAATTGAAAATAATTTTAGTTAACGATACAAAAAAAAATGGCGAGCGCTTCAACTGAAAAACTTAATGAAGAATCAAACCCAGTTTCACTTATGCAGTGTGTGTGTGTATGTGTGTGCGTGTGTGTGTGCGTGCGTGTGTGTGTGTGAATGCTGTCAGAAGCCAAAAGGTGCAACGAAGCTGCAGTTGAGCCAAGTGTTGCCTCGGTGCGGGGCAAGGCAGCTGCCAACGTGCAACGCATGTCAGCCAAGCAGCCAAGCGGAAGTGCTTAACACCAACACACGCCCACACGCACACCTGCACATATTTCCTGGTTTAATAACGGTAAAATGGAAACAAAAGCGTGGCAAAAAAATAAAAATAAAAGAAACCCCAAGAAATGTCTAGCTTCAGCATGACGAAAATGGAATATCCTTTTGATAATATCTCATCGATTTTTCCTATAAGCAGCCATATGATATAGTTAGATATAGAATATCTTGGCAAAAGGGAATATTTTTCATACGAAGTCTTTTTTTTTTATTGATTCGTATTGTAAAACTATATAATTTTGTCGTCCAGTCAGTGCTGGATATGTTTCTCATATATGTAAGAAGCTTGACTAAAGATTTTTTGTAAAACATTTAAGTCTTCCATCGTAACGGAATATGCTACCAATCGTTCCTATAAAGCAGCTATATAAAGATTGGAAGCAGCACAAATACCGAGTTAGATAAACATGCATTGATATAAAGAAAAGTATATCATACGAGACATAATTTTCAAATGAGATATAAATCTATCTTGTTAAACAAGAAAGAAACTAATTTTGGACCGATTTCGATTCGAACGTCTTCAAGCAGAGGGACTGAAATAGGCAGTAGCAGGACATGGCTATATCGACTATATCCTTGATATTCCTAAAGAATATATATATACTATATAGGATCGTTACCGTCTTCTTCTATGCGTTAC